GCCTTACTCTCGAGGAGACCTCCTCCTGAGGAGCCACTCCTGCCTTTTGGCAGCTCTGCGTGCCCGTGCATCGAGAAGAGGCTCCTCCTCTTCTTCCTCTTCACTTATGGGAGCTTCTGGAGGTTCTGAAGGCTCTGGCTGAATCCCCGCCTCTGGCACCACATCTTCTCCAGCCTCCTCATTGTCCGACTCGAGTGCCAGCCGCACAGGCTGCTGGCGCAGCACCACACCAGCCTCCTCGCTGTCAGAATCAGCTGCTAGCTGCACAGGCCGCATACGGGCCACAACACTCGGTGGCTAAGACTCTGAGCTTGTCGATTAGAAAGGTCGGCAGTTCGGCGGTTCGAATCCCTCGTACAAAGTCTCCTGCGTGAGCAGGGGGTTGGACTAGATGACCTCCAAGGTCCCTTCCAACTCTTGTTACTGTTACTGTCTCTTCAGATAAGGTGGGAGGCCAGCAATTCTTAAGAATAGTCTCATCCAGTGTTGGACAACCATTTCGGCACCGAGTGCTGAAATGGGAGCACGCCAGGGGTGGGTTCTACTTACATTTACTACTGGTTCGCAGCGGGGCCACGCATGCGCCTGAACGAAGTGAGCGCAGAAGCGTTTTGATGACGTCGGGTTCGGTGGGCGGAGCCTCCTGCCAGTTTTTACTACCGGTTCTATTGAACCGGTGTGAACCGGGGGCAACCCACCACTGGAGCACGCATGCGTGTAACGGAAACCGGAAGAGCAGCCGCATGCGCGCACCGGGAAGATGGTATTCCGGTTTCCGGCGCATGTATGTGCACCGGCTAGCTGGTCTTCACACACGCATGCGTGCCAGAAACCGTGTGCCATAGGTTCGCCATCATGGTCTAATCTCTGGTCTCTGCAAAGAGGTGGAAGTGCCTTTGTGGACAAGACCCAGTCTGCTTTTTTGCTCCTCACAGGTCAACGCTGGGAATCTCTGCTGCTCAAGCAAGTGAGCCAAGTTGCGTCAAGGCGGAGATCTAGATTGCTCGAGCGAGCGAGCCCAGCTGTAGCAACGATTCTCGGCAAGAAGCAACTCGTGGGAATGGTGGGCAAAACCTGGCCAAGCTTTGCCTTGCAGCTGGATGTGAACATGTGAATAGAATTAACAGAGTTGGAAGGAGGGACCTTGGAGGTCCTCTAGTCCAACCCCCTGCTCAGGCAGGAAAGCCTATCCCATTTCAGACAAATAGTTGCCCAAGAAGAGCCTTGGTAGTACAGTGGTCTAATGCACCCTGTTATTAAGACCAGCTGCCTGCAATTACTGCAGGTTCGAATCTCGCCAGGCTCAAGGTTGACTCAGCCTTCCATCCTTTCTAAGGTAGGTGAAATGAGGACCCAGTTGTGGGGGCAATAAGCTGACTTTGTATAAATATACAAAAAGGATGAAGGCTATTGCTTAGCGCATTGTAAGCCGCCCTGAGTCTCCGGAGAAGGGCGGCAAATAAATCAAATTTAAAAAAAACAAAAAAACGTTCTTCTTAAAAACCTCCAGTGTTTTGGAAAAACACACAACTGTCAGGAAATTTCTCCTTAGTTCTAGATTGCTTCTCTCCTTGATTAGATAGATTCCACCCATTGCTTCTTGTCCTGCCCTCAGGTGCTTTGGAGAATATCTTGGCTCCCTCTTCTTTGGGGCAGCCCCTGAGATATTGGAAGACTGCTATCATGTCACTCCTAGTCCTTTTTTTTCATTAAATTAAACATACCCAATCCTATCAACCATTATGTTTTAGCCTCCAGTCTCCTAATCTTCTTCGTTGCTCTTCTCTGCACTCTTTCTAGAGTCTCAACATCTTTTTAATATCGTGGCGACCAACACTGGATGCCGTATTCCAAGTGTGGCCTTACCAAGCCTTATAAAGTGGTATTAACACTTCGCGTGATCTTGATTCTATCCCTCTGTTAATGCAGCCCAGAACTGTGTTGGCTTTTTTGGCAGCTGCTGCACACGGCTGGCTCCTATCTAAATGGTTGTCCACTAGGACTCCAAGATCCCTCTCACAGTTACTACTATTGAGTCAGGCACCACTTATTCTATACCCTCCCTTTGGATGCTGGGAAATGGCTTCGTGCTTCCAGGAGCTTGCTCCTGGAAGCACGAAGCCGAGAACACCAGCCTGAAGATGACGAATGAGACTTTGTCGAAACATCGCCAAGACACTTCCAATTTTACGTGGGAGAAGACCCAAATAACCAAAGACCTACATACAAACACCCGCGAAAACCTGAGAAAAACATATTACGTATATATATATATATATATATATACACATACATATACATATACATATACATATACATATACATACATACATACATACATACATACATATATATATATATTATATATATGTATATATCTTTTTTGTAGGCTTTTATGTGCATATTCTTTCTAGCCAGGTTCCACCTACGTAAGCTAAGTTGTTCCACAGCCCTAGTTCTGTGAAATCTCATTCACAAGTTTTTGGGCTTTTTGTATCCTGCTGAAAAGCAACAACTCTGTGCTGCAATTTGGGAGACTCAAATAGCTGTGGAACAACTTAGCTTACGTAGGTGGAACCTGGCTAGAAAGAATATATATATATATATATATATCCGGAATCTAAATTTCTTTAAACATTTTTTAAATGTATCCTGTGAGCCGCTTCCGCGATTGCCTCGCAGCAAGATGCATTGGGATTTCAATCTCCCTAATTCTTAACCAGCCTGGCTAAGGGTGATGGGTGTTGTAGTCCCCTGTTGAAAGGATGATTGACCCACAGTGGTGGGTTTCAAATTTTTTTACTACTGGTTCTGTGGGCGTAGCTTGGTGGGCGTGGCATGGCTTGGTGGGCGTGGCAGGGGAAGGATACTGTAAAATCTCTATTCCCACCCCACTCCAGGGGAAGGTTAGTGCAAAATCTCCATTCCCACCCCACTCCAGGGGAAGGTTACTGCAAAATCCACATTTCCTCCCGATCAGCTGGGATCGGGAGGCAGAGAATAGATGGGGGCAGGGGCAGTCAGAATTTTTACTACCGGTTCTGTGGGCGTGGCTTGTGGGCGTGTGTGGTGGCTTGGTGGGTGTGGCAGGAGAAGGATACTGTAAAATCTCCATTCCCTCCCAGAGAATAGATGGGGGCGGGGCCAGTCAGAATTTTTACTACCGGTTCTCCGAACTACTCAAAATTTCACGCTACCCGTTCTCCAGAACTGGTCAGAACCTGCTGAAACCCACCTCTGACGTCCAAAACCCATCCCTAGGATGCCAGTTTGGGAGAAAGCGGCTTATATCAAGAAGCAAATGCAGAGAAACCGGGGTTAAAAGAAGAACTCGGTGAAACCTCTTTTAATGCCATAGAGACATTTCTCGTCTTCTCGGCAAGATAAACGCTCTTTAGATTGACCTTTCCAATCGGTTAGTAGTTTTTTTTTTTTTTTATAAAAAAAATGCGGTTTTGATATTGCTTTTGATGGCGTATTTCCCCCCCCCTCTGTTTTTCCTTTATGATTTTGCAATCCATCCATCACCTTGGCAACATTTCTCCGAAAGAGAAGCGGAGACAGAAATACTGCAAATAAATGGAATCAGTAAATTAAATTAATGGGAGATTGTGCTTTGCTTCCATTGAGCACAGATTCTAGTTCCACCCCAACCCACACTTCCAGATGGGTTACAGCTCCCATCGTCCACTACCGGCGTGCCCATACTGGAGACGTTTCATACCATATCTGATATTCTATAGGTAGTTCTCAACTTGCAACAGTTCGTTTAGTGACCGTTCAAAGTTGCAACAGCACTGAAAAAAAGGAACTGATGACCGTTTTTCACACTTACGACCGTTGCAAATGACTCGTATATATGACGGTTGCAGTGTTCCCAGGGTCCCTTGATCCCCTGTGGCGCAAAGTCAATGGGGGACGCCAGATTCGTTTAACGGCCATGTTTCTAACTTAACAACCGCAGTGATTCGCTTAACGACGGGGGCCAGAAAGGCAGCAAAACGGGGCAAAACTCACTTTTAACAACTGCCTCACTCAGCCACAGGAATGTTGGGCTCAATTGTGGTCGTAAGTCGAGGACTACCTGTATTTCAAGTGGCTATTTTAAACTTGGCTTAATTCATACAACCACGGATCAAGTTAGGATTTGATAATCCAAATTGTAGCTTAAAGTCTTGGCTTAATTCATGCAACCAAGGTTTAGGTTGGATCTGATGATGCAATTGCAGCGGAACTGAAGTAACTGAAAAACATTAGCAAGTTGACAAACTGTGGTTTATTTCATCCTATCACTTGCAGTCGTCATGCTTTATTTCTTGCAGGCTGCTTAATAAAAAAAATATACAGTAGTGGCCAGAATTGTGGAAACCTTTTGGGAAAAGTGTTTTGAGGTTTGATGGCTAATAACACCATTTTTTTTTTTTGAGTTTCAAGATAATCCTATTCCACTGCTGGAATGGCCTGGGAATAGCCCAGACCTTAACCCAATTGAAAATCGATGGAGCCGATGACTTGCTAGTCAGAAGCAACCCAGCAATAAAACCCAGTTAATAGAAGCCATCATTCAATCTTGGTTTCACATTAGAACAGCTGCAGAACTTCAAAGACTTGGTTCGCTCCATGGGAAGACGTTGTAAGGCCGTCATTCATGCTAAAGGTTACCCAACTAAGTATTAACTGACGTGATAATTTTTGTACACCTCGTTTTTTTTCTACGGGTTTCACTTTTCTTCTTTATCCTGTAACTGCTATTCTAATAGCAAATCCTTCATAAAGTTATTGCATTACCTTCTTCATTAAATTATCTTTCCATTGATATATAATTTTATGGTACTACTAAAAAAAAAAAGTGGTGCTATTAGCTAGTTTTAGAAAATACACTTTTCCCAAAGGTTTCCACAATTTTGGCCACTACTGTAGCATCATTTATTCATACATCCAAAAGATTGCCATAGATTTTGAATTCCGGAATGGGAAAGTACTAACGGAGTCAGTACAGATTCTGAAAGGTGCTAAAAGTTTATTTTATTGTTTCGGAAGGAAAATGTTTTTTAAATGCAATCCGATCTTCAGTGACCCTTTTTTCTTGGAAAACGAGAAAGAACAAACCTGAAAAAACAGGAAAACCTGAAAGAGATTTGTAAGAAATGTTTTTTAACAAAGGAAAAACTCAAGAGCAAAATCCAAAAAGATCTTACCAAAGTACATATTCTAATAAAAACATTTAAAAAGCATTAAAAGTTATGAAGCTGGATGGAATGGGTATTAAAAAGGATTTCTGCAATCACACTGTGCTTGAAGCGGTACCATTTGGATGGTAAAAAGTAAAATGACCCAAAGAAAGGCCAAGATTGAGTTTTTGGAGACATAAATAAATTTAAAGGACACCTTTCTGAATTTCTCTCTCTCTCTCTCTCTTATCTATCTATCTATCTATCTATCTATCTATCTATCTATCTATCTATCTATCTATCTATCTATCTATCTCCTATCTATTTGTTTATCATTATCTATATATCTATCATATCTATCTATCTATTTATCATATCTCTATCTCTTATCTCTTATCTATCATCTCTCTTTCTCATCTATGTATCTATCTATATCTATATCTATCTATCTATCTATCTATCATCTATCTATCTATCTATCTATCTATCTCCTATCTATTTGTTTATCATTATCTATATATCTATCATATCTATCTATCTATCTATCTATTTATCATATCTCCTATCTCTTATCTATCATCTATCATCTCTCTTTCTCATCTATGTATCTATCTATCTATATCTATCTATCTATCTATCTATCTATCTATCTATCTATCTATCTATCTAATCTATTTATCATATCTATCTATCATATCTATCTATCATATCTATATCATCTATCTATCTATTTATCTATTTATCATATCATATCTATTTGTTTATCATATCTATATATCTATCATATCTCTATCTATCTCTTATCTATCATCTATCATCTATCTACCATCTCTCTTCTCATCTACCATATCTATCTATCTATCTATCTATCCATCCATCTATCTATCTATCTATCTATCTATCTATCTATCTATCTATCTCCTATCTATTTGTTTATCATTATCTATATATCTATCATATCTATCTATCTATTTATCATATCTCTATCTCTTATCTATCATCTATCTACCATCTCTCTTTTCATCTATCATATCTATCTCTCTATCTCTCTATTTGTCTATCTGTCTATCTATCATCTACAGTATCTATCACCGGTCTGTCTATCTGCCTATTGATCTATCATCATCCATCATCTACCATCTCTCTCTCTCTTTCTCTCTCTCTCTCGTGTTCTTTGGGGCAACTCCAGGCAGCTTACAATACAATAAAAAACAGGGATGTAAAAATCACTCTTGAATTAAAAATTGATTAAAATTAGAAACAATGAAAGAACTGTCCTGTATAATAACGGACACACGGATCCAGGTAGCTCTTGACTTAGCCACCATTCACTTACCAAACGTCTGAAGTTACAACCGTGCTGAAAAAAGGGCCGTTCCTCAAACTTAAAACCATCAGAGCAGCCCCTGGCAGAATCGCTGTGCAGAATCCTGGATGGTGGGATCGCCATTGGTGACCTTCCCAGCTGGCTTCTCATAAGCAAAGTCAGCGAGGGGGAAGCCAGATTCGCTGAACGACTATGACTCCCTGAACAACATCAGTGATTTATAATGATAATAATAATAATAATAATAATAATAATAAAAACTGACTACCTACAACGCCATGGCCGTGTTGCTAAGATCATTCACTGGAAATTGTGCCAGAAGTTTGCATTTGAGTACAGCAAAAACCACTGGGAACTTCAGGTTGAGAAAGTTTTAGAGAATGAGAAACTCAAGATCTTGTGGGACTTTAGGATTCAGACTGACAGGCACTTGGTCCACAACACACCTGACATAACAATAGTTGAAAAGAAAAAAGTATGGTTCATTGACATTGCAATACCTGGTGATGCACGGATTGAAGAAAAGCAGCAAGAAAAAAATCACAAAGTACCGGGACTTGCAAATTGAAGTTGAGCGACTGTGGAAAAAGAAATCGTGTGTTGTCCCCGATTGTAATTGGAGCCCTTGGAGCAATACCCAAAGGGCTACCCCGCTATTTAGCAATCCTAAATTTGCCAGACTTGAACATTTTGACTCTACAAAAAACCACCTTACTCGGAACAGCTTACATCCTCCGACGATACCTTAACAGTTCCTAGGTCCTTGGTTAGGACTCGAGCTGCTGAGCTATTAACCAGCCTCAAAGGCTATGAATCTCACACTAAAGATTAACCAATAATAATAATAATAATAGATTGTAAAATTGGGCATGACTCACTTAACAACCGCAACCGAAATTCTGGTCCCAATTTTGGTCGTACGTCGAGGACTATCTGTATACGGTCCGTTCTGTATGTCCTGGGAAAAGGGAAGGGATTGTCCCAAACAGGTCCCAGTGATTCTTCGTGACCTTGCAACGCGGAAGTATAGAAAAAACAGGAGGAGGAGGAGGAGGACGTGATAAAAGGTGTGGACTACTGAGAGGTGGGCCCCTGCTGGATGGTAGGCTGTGATTTGTTGTCGCTTTTTTACATCAGAACAACAAAATCACTAGTCTTCCAATCAGAAGCAGGCCAGGTCTTCATCTGTTGGGTTTCCTTTGGAGCTCCCAGGTGAGGTTGTTGCTTTCTACAAAGGAAGGAGATGATGAGCTTCGGGCTGGAAGGAGATTCTGAAATCCTACAACTGATGCCCATCCATCCATCCATCCATCCATCCATCCATCCATCCATCCTGTTGTGGCCCTCCAGCAGCCAGTGGATCTGGCAGCAGATTCGGACAGTGAGGAGGTTGGGGAGGAACATGGGCCAGTCTTGGAGTCTGGGGAAGGCTCTAACAAGGGCTCTGAGGCAGAGAGGGGGCCAGGGCCGTCTGACAGTTATCAGCTGCCTTTGGAGTCAGACATCAGTGTGAGGCAGACAAACAGCTGGAGCCTGTTCCCAGTGTGAGCATGCACAGAGTTGCCAGGCGAAGGGAACAGTTAAAGAACAAGGGTCGACTCAGGAGTAAAGCCACAGGTGGACAGTGAATGGCCCCTCCCAGAGGGAACAAAAGAGGAGCGAAAGGGGAGTGGAGTTTGCAGGAGACAATTAGTTCGCTTAATTGGTTCGTGACTCTCCGAGAGGCCTTGCCAAGTTTTGAAGATATCGGCCTGGCAGCTCTCCAAGCCAGATAAGGTCTGTGACTATAAATTCTCCCTTGAAAGACTTTGCTGGATGTGAATGAGAAGAATTCACAAGTAACTTAATAAAAAGGGTTTTTTTGTCGGGACAAGGAGTCTGCTTCATGCTCTTGGGAAGGCTAAGTCAGAACACATCCATCTATCCATCCATGGATCTAAGCATCAAGAGCAGAGATCTTCAAACTTGGCAGCTTTAAGACTTGTGGACTTCAACCAGCATAGCTGGCTGGAGAATTCTGGGAGTTGAAGTCCACAAGTCTTAAAGCTGCCAAGTTTGGGGACCCCTGATCAAGGGAAACCCTTCAACAAGGAAGCAGATCCTTGAGATGAGTAGTCGATTCTTCACAGGAAGTCCTTCAGGATCTCATAGCTGTACATGAAGTAGGTAAATTGATGGGTCGATAGCTACATAGGAAGGTAAGGAATGGATGGATGGAACAGATGGATGGTGTTGTGGCCTGTCGGCCTCTGGCCCCTCCAGCAGCCGAATCAGAGGAGGAGGCGTGGGAGTCAGGGCCAGAATCAAGGCAACCTGAGAGCTCCGAGGGGGAAGAGGGACTGGAACTATCAGAGATAGCTCCCAGACAGAGGGGGAGCCTGGGTCATCTGTCAGCCCTCAGGTGGAGAGTCAACAGCCCCAAGGTCTGGAGGTGGCTGATGAAGAAGAGGAGGAACAGCTGGGTCCAGTGCCTGACACATGGATGCACAGAAGGCAGAGGAGAGGAGAGCAGAGCAAAAGAGGAAATCTATGGGCCGGTCCTTGGGACGGAAGAGCCACCACTGCTGGCTCTGGGGATAAAAGGCTGGGGGTGGAGATGAATGGAGATGGCTTAGGGCCTGGGTATTTACGAGACCACCTTCTGCCACCGATAACCTCCCACCGGCCAATCCGCTCCCACAGAGAGGGTCTCCTCAGGGTGCCGTCGGTCAAGCAATGTCGACTGATGACCCCCAGGGGGAGAGCCTTCTCTGTGGGGGCACCCGCCCTCTGGAACGAGCTACCCCCAGGGATACGACTGATCCCGGACCTCCATACTTTCCGCCGAGCATTAAAGACCTTCTTATTCCAGCAAACCGAGCTGGCTTAAAATTTTAATGGGTTATTTTATGGGGAAAGGGTTTTAAAATTTAGGGAAGCCAAGCTGATTTAATTCTGTTTTAATTCTTTTTAATTTTTATACTGTATGCGTTTTAAATTTTGGCTGTTCACCGCCCTGAGTCCTTCGGGAGAAGGGCGGTATACAAATTTAAATAAATAATAAATAAATAAATAAATAAATAAATAAATAGATAGATAGATAGATAGATAGATAGATAGATAGATAGATAGATAGATAGATGTGGCAGTCAATTATTCATCTCTCTGCCGGATGGACTGATTAGCCTGCGGTGAGAGAGAAATTTTTTTGCCGGGGCTTCTGGTGTTCCTAATAAAGGAATGGATGGATCTCTTAAGTAGCTAAATGGGTTAGATGCATAGCGAAGTTGATGGATGGATGAATCAGCAGACAGATAAACAAGGACATAAGTAAGATAGACAGAAATTGACTGATCGATATGGGGGTCATTGACTGACGGATATCAAAGAAATGGCACATGTCTACGCTGAGACTGAAATTGAGGCCTTTGAACTCTGGTGCTGGAGAAGACTCCTGCGAGTCCCTTGGACTGCAAGGCGATCCAACCGGTCAGTCCTAGAGGAGATCAACCCCAACTGCTCTTTAGAAGGCCAGATCCTGAAAATGAAACTCAAATACTTTGGCACCTAATGAGAAGGAAGGACTCCCTGGAGAAGAGCCTAATGCTGGGAACGATGGAGGGCAAAAGAAGAAGGGGACAGCAGAGAACGAGGTGGCTGGATGGAGTCACTGAAGCAGTTGGCGTGAGCTTAAATGGTCTCCAGAGGATGGTAGAGCAGTGATCCCCAACCTTTTTATCGCCGCGGCCCGCTGAGCGCGCGCAGGGGTGTGGGCACGGCCCAGGAGCTTTTGCGCACGGCCCATTGCGCACGGCCCAGGAGCCTTTGCGCTGCAGTGTTCATGTCCCCCGGCCGCTGCGCGGCCCGGTGCCAGGTACTCCACGGCCCGGCACCGGTCCGCGGACCGGGGGTTGGGGACCACTGTGGTAGAGGACAGGAAGGCTTGGAGGAACATTGTCCATGGAGTTGCGATGGGTCGGACATGACTTGGCAACTAACAACAACAAAGAGTTTCCACAACTGAATGAGAACTCCCACCATATTCCGTTTCATTCAGGGGAGAAGCTCCGTGACTCGGACACCTCCTTGCCCCCTGAGTGAGAGAGATGGAGGGCCCCTGGTGGGCAGGCACACCCCCCCCCACTCTTCCCTCCACCTATCCAGGTGCTTCCGGCAGTGAAGGAACACCTCACCTTAGCCACTTGCCTACCCTCCCTTTGGGGTCTGTCCCTCTAGCTGCCAGGGCAGGGCAGGGCAGGGCGGGAGGGGGGTCACCAGGCTGGCTGCCCCCTCCCGGAGAGCTTACCTCCAACCCTTCATTCCGCAAAGAGAAGATTTGAGCAGCGAGGCGAAGGTTGCGCATGGAGCTTAATTGCACGAAAGTGCCCCAGCGCTCCGCCAAAGCCACTTTGCTGAAGAGCTGGCGTGGGAGGCCGGCGGGGAAGGAACCGGGGAGCGGAGAGGGCGGGGGGTTTCGTCTGGCCTTTTGACAGGTTATTGACAGGCTCTTGATGGTCTCTTTTGTCAAAGAGCAATTTTAGCCTTTCCGGGCTACAATTTTCGACTTTTTTTTAAAGAGATATCTATATATATATTTTAAAAAAAGAGAGAGGGAGAGAGAAGGTGAGGAGGAGAAGGAGAAGGAGAAAAGAACGGGGGCTTTGACGAAGGGGTGGTGGTGGGGGAGAGAAAGAAGAGATGAGAGTCATTTGAAAATAAAATAAAATAATAAAGGGAGCCGGTCGACAAAGGAAGAATTGTTGGGTGTTTTTGTCTGAAAAAGCAGTGACGTTTGTCTGGAAGGGGACCGAAAGTCGCCTCTCTCCCCTCCACACTTTTCTGGAATGAAAGCTTCTGCATTCTTCTTACAATGTCATCCTGATTGAAAAGGCATAGAGTGGCATCAGAATCCTAGAAGTGGGGTATTGGAAAGGGACACCCAGCAGTCATCTAGCCCAACCCTCTCTGATGTGCAAGAAAGCCTATTCCACCCTTTTCACAAAACCGCTCGAGAGCAAAAATCCTCAACCGCTTCCCCCACCTCCTTCCCCAGGTAGACTTTTCCATTATGTGGTGCATTTTATTATTCTCTGTAAGATTTATTATTATTTTTTTTGTTTCCTTACAGTTTCCACCAAATCCGGATAGCTGAAAAGTTGACACTTCTCGTTTCCGGGCCTGGTTTTGGGTGGCCTATCGAAAAAAGTTCCTGTCCATCTCCTCTGGGGCTTCCCCTGGATGAACCTGAACTGAACGGTTGGGGAATAAACAGAAAGAAATCACGATAAAATAAGAATAAGAAACTGTGACTGTTATATCTCCCTTTCAGTTCTTGACTCTAGACCAGGGGTCTCCAACCTTGACCACTTTTTTTTTTTAATTTGATTTATATGCCGCCCTTCTCCGGAGACTCAGGGCGGCTTACAATGCGTTAAGCAATAGCCTTCATTCTTTTGTATATTTTATACAAAGTCAGCTTATTGCCCCCACAAACTGGGTCCTCATTTCACCTACCTTAGAAAGGATGGAAGGCTGAGTCAACCTTGAGCCTGGCGGGATTTGATCTTACTTTAATTGCAGACAGCTGGTGTTAAATTACAGAGCTCTGTCTGTTGAGCTATCCAGGCTCCTAAGCTTTAAGCCTGGCGGACTTCAATTCCCAGAATCCCCTGACAAAGCTGGCTGGGGAATTCTGGGAATTGAAGTCCGCCAGGCTTAAAGTCGCCAAGCTTGGAGATCCCTGGTCTAGACTGAACATTACCAGTTCCTCCAGCTTGTCCTTAAAAGTAGGGCCACTTTGGTATGTGATGGGTTAAGATGCTGGCCTTAGAAATCAGGAGATGGTAAGTTCTCGTCCTGCCTTAGGCATGAAAGGGGCTGGAGACTTTGGGCCAATCACCTGATGGTGAGTTCTAATCCCACTTTAGGCATTAAGTCCAACTTTTAGATTGGATTGGATTAGATTAGATTAGATTACATTGGATTAGATTAGATTAGATTAGATTAGATTAGATTAGATTAGATTAGATTAGATTAGATTAACCATTCGTCTGAAATGGTTTAGGGTTTCCTGCCTGAGCAGAGGATTGGACTAGAATACCTTCCTTCTCTTCTCTTCTCTTCTCTTCTCTTCTCTTCTCTTCTCTTTTCTTCGCTTAAGACTCTTCTATTTCATCAAGCTGGCCTGGCCTAAATCTTCCCCTTTTAATGTGGAAATTTTAAATTTGTTTTAATTATAGGGTTATGGGTAAGGCGTTTTAAATTGGGAAGCCATTTTGGATTTAATTTTGTTTTAAATGTATTTTAATATTTATATTGTATGTTTTTTAATTTTGGCTGTTCACCGCCCTGAGTCCTTCGGGAGAGGGGACGGTATAAAAATTTAATAAATAAATAAATAAATAAACATTGATCTTGATCTTGATTCTATGCTTCTGCTTATACAACCAAGGATTGTATTAGCTTTTTTGGCTGCTGCCGCACACTCCAAGATCCCTCTCAACAGCTACTGTTTTTGAGCCAGGTCTCGCCTAATCTATACTTGTACCTTCAGTTTTTCCTGCCCAGGTGTAAAATCTTGCTTTTCTCCACATTAAAATTCATGTTGTTGGATAGGACCCATTGTCCAGCTTATACCTATTTAAACGCAGCCTCTGTGACGGTGGTGAAATCCAAATTTTTTTACTACCGGTTCTGTGGGCGTGGCTTGGTGGGCATGGCAGGGGAAGGATACTGCAAAATCTCCATTCCCACCCCACTCTGGGACCAGCCAGAGGTGGTATTTGCTGGAACTGCTCAAAATTTCCGCTATTGGTTCTCCGAACTGCTCAAAATTTCCGCTACCGGTTCTCCGAACTGCTCAAAATTTCCGCTACCGGTTCTCCAGAACCTGTCAGAACCTGCTGGATTTCACCCTACTCTATGACCGTTTCTCTCAAAATAGAAGGAATCTCTGCTCTCCAAAGTTATAAATAAAAGAAATATACAGAGACCGTCTCTCCCCTTGGCTGAGCGACGGCTCAGCTGAGGCTTCATTGACCATCTCTTTCTTCTTGTTTATCAAGCAAGGTTGTTTTCTCAGCTTCGACAAGCAGCCAGATGACATGCTCTACCACTTGAATGACAGCCTTTCCCAGATCCCCTAGGTGGTGCAGGGACCTACCTAGCCCATGCAATGAAGAAATAGCTAAGAGAAAGTCCTAAACCTTTTTATTTCATCAAGTCGGGCTGGCCTAATCTCTCCTATTGTGTATTTTAATTTGGATTTTTAATGGGGGATTTTAACTGTCGGGCCAAAATGTTTAATTTATTTTTAAATTGTTTTTAAGTTTTGTATTTGATGTTTTTTACTTCTGGCTGTTCACCGCCCTGAGTCCTTCGGGAGAAGGGCGGTATATAAATTCAAATATTAAATTAAATTAAATTAAACATCCCTTTTCAACGTCCCAGCCCAAAGAGGCAAATCAAACCAGCCGGTCATTCAATCACCCCCACAACCAAGAGTTCTTTTCGCAGGACCACTGATGAAAGATACAGTGGGGGGGTGTTAATTCCCTGCAATGGAAGGGGGTTGGACTAGAAATTCAATGGTGAAAAAAGGAAGGTTCTACATTTAGGCACGAAAAAACCCAAATGCACAGGTGCAGTATATGTGGTACCTGGCTCAATAGTAGTGACTGTGAGGGGGATCTTGGAGTCCTAGTAGACAATCACTTAAATATGAGCCAGCTGTGTGCCGCAGCTGCCAAAAAAGCCAACACAGTTCTAGGCTGCATTAACAGAGGGATAGAATCAAGATCATGTGAAGTGTTAATACCACTTTATAAGGCCTTGGTAAGGCCACACCTAGAATGCTGCATCCAGTTTTGGTCACCACGATATTAAAAAGATGTTGAGACTCTGGGAAGAGTGCAGAGAAGAGCAGCAAAGAGGATTCGGGGACTGGAGGCTAAAACAGATGAAGAACGGTTGCAGGAACTGGGTATGTCTAGTTTGAAAAGAAGGACTAGGGGAGACATGATAGCAGCATGTTCCAATATCTCAGGGGCTGCTCCAAAGAAGAGGGAGTCAAGCTATTCTCCAAAGCCCCTGAGATATTGGAACAATGGGTGGAAACTAATTAAGGAGAGAAGCAACTTAGAACTAAGGAGAAATTTCCTGACAGAACAATCAATCCGTGGAACTACTTGCCTCCAGAAGTTGTAAATGCCCCAACACTGGAATGGTTGGATAACCATTTGTCTGAAGTGGTGTAGGGTTTCCTGCCTAAGCAAGGGGTTGGACTAGAAGATCTCCAAGGTCCCTTCAAACTCTGTTATTCTATCCTAGGTGCAGTGTGGGGATTTTTCATTCCCTGCAATGGAAGGGGGTTGGACTAGATGACCCTTGGGGATCCCTTCAGCTCTAAGTTTTGGATTCTAAGCTGTCAGAAAAGACTGGACAATGGCTCTTGCCTCTTGAATATTAGTTGCTTTGTGGGATGAAAGGGCAGCAGGGTCCAACGAAGCCCCCCCCTCTTTGCCTGCCTGCCCCTGAATTTCATTCCTGTTGGAAATGAGGCATTTCCACCCTTTAAGGACGCCCAGCTGAGTGACCGGCTCTTAGAACCGAGGGAGGGGGTCTCTAACAAGGTTTTCCTCCTTCCCTGGTTGCACAAGCATGCGCCTGGCCAATCATGGCATAATGGAAGCCTGCACTCCATCGTAAGCCTTGAATTAGGGGTTTGCCGCTAAGAATTCATCTGACTTTCATTGAAACTGCTTGATAGTCCGAACTCTCCCTCCCTTCTGTCTCCTTTGTTCAAACATGGAAAAGAGTTTTTTTTTTTTAAAAAAAGGTGAAGCACAAAAGGTCCTCTCTCTCCCTCTCTCTTTCTCTTTCTTTCTCTCTCTCTCTCTTTCTTTCTTTCTCTCTCTCTCTCTCCCCACCCTCATCTATCTGTTTTGATCTGTCTATCCATTTTAATTGTTCCACATCTATCTATCTATCATCCATCTATCAATCTACCTATCATCCACCCATCCATCACCATCTCTCTCTATTACATCTATCCATCCATTCATTTATCTGACTATCATCTCTCTCCATTTTGATCCATCTATCTTTTCCATCTATCCACTGTATTTCTCTTTCTCTCTTCAGTAAAACTATCATCTATTCCATCCATCCATCTGTTCATCTACCATCCATCCATCCATTTTATCTGTCTCCATTTTGATTTTTCTCTCTAAATTATTATCTATTTATCTATCTATCTATCTATCTATCTCTATCTATCTATCTATCTATCTATCTATCTATCGGTTTCGATGTCGTCTCAAATAAAATAAATTGCATTTCCAAACAAATAGTCTTTGATGGCTATTTCATTTATTAAGCACGACAATCTGTCCCCGATTGTGGCGTAGCCAACACTGATTTCCTGACCCCAAACCTTCCCTTTTCATTCCCCAATTCTCTGCGTCTCATTGGCCCTCTTCCAAATCACTCTCCCCATATCTACTACTTCAGCTCCCAGGAATGTCCCCCCTTCCAACTCATCTCCTAGGAGATATTATCTTCAGGGAAAATAAGTAGGTGAGAAGTCAAGCGTCCTCTTGCCAGCTGCCCCCTCTTCTCCTTCTTATGTCAGCACTAGAGTAAATGCAGGTTGAAGTGCTGACACTATCATCATCATCATCTCTCTCTCTTCCCTCCCTCCATTTTATCTGTTTGTCTCTCTGTCTATCACTTCTCTCTCCCTTTTTCTCTCTCATCTGTCTATCTTTAATCCCTCCATTTCTCTCCCTTTAACTCTCCCATCCCTCCATCCATCGTGGGCCAATCTATCTATCAATCTAGTACGGAAAGCCAGAATTCTCAATTCTCACAATCTCAAAGCGTTTCCTCACTCCCAGCTCAAGAAAACAAGTGAAGATGATTGTGTGAACCGTCACGGAGCCTTTCCATTACGGTCGTAAGTCGTGACGGTCATAAAGCAGATCATCGCATGACAGACATGACAGTTTTACAACCTTTTTTTATCGCAGTGGTCGTTAATTGAGTGATGTGATCATTAAGCAAACCCATGGTTTATTATAACAGGTTTTTTTACCGAAAACCCAAAGCAATGCTGGCTTTCGGCAAAAATCTTATCTGTTATGGTGATGTGAGGGTGGGGACACAGCAAATGGCCACATGTGTGAGCTGGTTGCCGAGTGCCTGAAATGTGGCCACATCATTGGGAAGGGCAGTTGTTTGAGTTTTGAAACCAGGTTGTAAGTACAGGCAGTCCTCGGCTTAACGACCACAATTCCGCCCAATATTTCCCTCGCTAAGCAAGACAGTTTTAAAGTGAATTTTCCTCCCTCTTACAACCTTTCTTGCAACACTTGTTAAGGGAACCATTGCCGTTGCTAAATTAGAACCACGGTCGCTAAGTGAATCAGGCTTCCCCCATGGACTTTGCTTGGGGGGGGGGGTCCCATGACTCCAGGATGCTGCAACCGTCATAAGTACGAGTCAGTTGCCAAGCGTCTCAATTTGGATCACGTGTGACCCTGGGGCTGCTGCAACGGTCGTAAGTGTGAAAAATGGTCATAAATAAGTCACGGTTTTTAGTGCCGTTGCAACTTCAGTCAGTAAACAGATGGTTGTAAATTGAGCACTACCTGTACCTTTTGTGTGTGTGTGTGTGTGTGTGTGTGTGTGTGTGTGTGTATCTGTTGCAATTTTGAATGGTCACTAAGCAACTGGTCATAAATCAAGGATAATTTGATCCACTCCACCATGAAAACTCCACCTCTCCGGAACCCTGACTAAGGTTAAAAATGAACAACGTGAGAATGCTTTTATAGACCTGCCTCTCATCTGGATTAGCGTGTTGTGGGAACGGGGCTTGTATCTTTTGTCAGCTGCCTCACAATCATTCATCCTCTTTTAACGACCCCATAATCCCCTTTCGGGATGGAGTCAGGGCAATTGAATGGAGTTGAGTGTTTACTGGCCGGATGCCTTTCCTGTCACCAATGCAGAGTTTTTTTCCCAGCAGATATATTCCCAGTGCGCCAAGAGAGAGAAAAATATCTGCCTCAACCTAGGATCGAACTCATAGTCTCCTATTTGTGAGGCAAGAGCTCCACCTCTAGGCCACCGCACCATGATACCTGAGAGTAGGAGAAGAAGCAACAGGTGGAAACTAATCAAGGAGAGAAGCAACCTAGAACTAAGGAGAAATTTCCTGACAGTGAGAAAAATTAATCCGTGGAACAACTTGCCACCAGAAGTTGACTTCCAACACTGGAAGTTTTTAAGAAGATGTTGGACAACCATTTGTCTGAAGTGATGTAGAGTTTCCTGCCTAAGCAGGGGGATGGACTAGAAGACCTCCAAGGTCCCTTCCGACTCTGTTATTCTATTCTATTCTATATCATGTGAAGCTCCCGCACAATGCTGGCTCATATATTTAAGTGATTGTCCACTAGGACTCCAAGATCAGTGGTGGGTTTCAAATTTTTTTACTACCAGTTCTGTGGGCGTGGCTTGGTAGGTGTGGCTTGGTGGGCGTGGTAGGGGAAGGATACTGTAAAATCTCCATTCCCACCCCACTCCAGGGGAAAGTTACTGTAAAATCCCCATTTCCTCCCGATCAGCTGAGACTTGGGAGGCAGAGAATAGATGGGGGCGCGGCCAGTCAGAATTTTTACTACCGGTTCTCCGAACTACTCACAATTTCCGCTACCGGTTCGCCAGAACTGGTCAGAACCTGCTGAAACCCACCTCTGTCCAAGATCCCTCTCACAATTACTATTATTGAACCAGGTGCCACCTATACCATATCTGGGCATTTGGTTTTTCTTGCCTAAATGTGTAGAACCTTTCTTTTCTCACCGTTGAATTTCGCTTTCTTGGCTATTTTATTTATTTTATTTATTTATTTTATTAAATTTCTATACCGCCCTTCTCCCGAAGGACTCAGGGCGGTGAACAGCCACAAGATAAAACACATAAATACAAAAATTTAAAATTAAAATAAAAACGAATTAAATAATTTGGCTGAACAAATTTAAAATACCCCATAATTTAAAAACAAATTAAAATTTACATTTAAAAAGGGGAGAAGATTTAGGCCAGGCCAGCTTGATGAAATAAAAAAGTCTTAAGCACGCGACAGAAGGTGCGCAGATCCGGGATCCTCCATATCTCCGGGGGGAGCTCGTTCCAGATCGTAGGTGCCCCCACAGAGAAGGCTCTCCCCCTAGGGACCGCCAGTCGACATTGTTTGGCTGACGGCACCCGGAGGAGCCCCTCTCTATGGGAGCGTACTGGCCGGTGGGAGGCTGTTTGTGGTAGCAGGCGGCCCCGTAGATAACCAGGTCCTAAGCCATGGAGCGCTAGGACCCAAGTCTGTCAAGATCCTCCTGTATCTTGAGCCTATTGTCCAGAGGGTTGGCTGTTCCTGCTGGCTCGGTGTCATCTGCAAATTTCCCACATCTATCCCCTCATCCAAATCATTGATGCAGATGTTGAAGGGTCTATAAAGTCTTGGGGTACCCTTCGGCTTATTTCCCTCCCTGTAGATGCAGTTCCATCCAGAACTATACCAGAGATGGTATTCAGCCGGTTTGGATTTCCGCAACCGGTTCGTGTGAACCGGTTGCGGAAATCGTGGGCTCTATTCAATCCTATTTAGGCACGTTTCTAAGGCCGGGCGCATGCATGGAAGAGGCGCACACCAGCAATGCACATGCACGGAAGGCTGCGCGTATGTGTGGGCGGGGTCTAACACGCGCGCACTCACATTTTCGAACCGGTTGGGAAAGTAAATGAATGCCACTCCTGGACTCAGTGGTGGGTTTCAAAAAATTTTGCTATCGGTTCTGTGGGTGTGGCTTGGTGGGCGTGGCTTGGCGGGCATGGCAGGGGAAGGATACTGCAAAATCTCCATTCCCTCCCCAACCCAGGGGAAGGTTACTGCAAAATCCCCATTTCCTCCCGATCAACTGGGATTCGGGAGGCAGAGAATAGAGGGAGGGCGAGACCAGTCAGAGGTGATATTTACTGGTTCTCCGAACGACTCAAAATATCCGCTACCGGTTCTCCAGAACCTGCTGAAGCCCACCTTTGCCTGGACTATACGTTGAGTGCGGTTGGCCAGCCAGTTAACGAATCCATTGGGTGATGACGCTGTCTAACCCACGTTTTTCTACCTCGGTATCTCTGCTCGAGCAAAAGGACCGAAGAGACGGAGATGAAGAGAGGGAGGGGGGAAGGGTTAAGAGTTGTGAGATCATGTCTCCGTCAAGGTCCCCATAGCCAAGGCCTTTTGATGCTCCTCATTGCCGCTTTGGGGGGATTAAAGAAGTCACATGGAGCTCAAAGGGAGAAGGGCAAGGCCGCTGGTCGGGGAACACAAAGGTCTGGCCAACAAGGTAATCCTGCATTTATCTGATGGCCTTCAAGGTTGGATCCAGCAGCTGCAGCTCCTCTATTACCAGAACCATAGAACAGGGGGTGTCCTTGGCAACTTTAAGCCTTGAAGGTTGGGGGGCTATGAAAGTGCCTGATTCATTTCCTCTTATATATTTGTCTGAAATGGTATAGGGTTTCCTGCCTGAGCAGGGGGTTAGACTAGATGACCTCCAAGGTTCTATTCTATTCTATTCTATTCTATTCTATTCTATTCTATTCTATTCTATTCTAGCCTAGCCTTATCCTTATCCTGTCCTTATCCTTATCCTATTCTTTTCCTATCCTTATCCTTATCCTTATCCTTATCCTTATCCTTATCCTGTCCTTATCCTATTATCCTATCCTATCTATCCTATCCTTATCCTATCCTTATCCTATCCTTATCCTATCCTTATCTATTATCCTATCCTATCCTATCCTTATCTTATCCTTATCCTTATCCTTATTGTATCCTATCCTATCCTTATCCTTATCTTATCCTTATCCTTATCCTTATCCTTTTCCTTTCCTTATCCTTATCCTTATTGTATCCTATCCTATCCTTATCCTTATCCTTATCCTTATTGTATCCTATCCTATCCTTATCCTATCCTTCCTTATCCTATTCTTTTATCCTATCCTTATCCTATCCTTATCCTTATCCTATTCTTTTCTATCCTATCCTTATCCTTATCCTTATTGTATCCTATCCTATCCTATCCTTATCCTATCCTATCCTTATCCTTATCCTATTCTTTTCCTATCCTATCCTTATCCTATCCTATCCTATTCTTTCCTTATCCTTATCCTATTCTTTTCCTATCCTATCCTTATCTTATCTTATCCTTATTGTATCCTATCCTATCCTATCCTTATCCTTATCCTATCCTTATCCTATCCTATCCTTATCCTTATCCTTATCCTATTCTTTTCCTATCCTTATCCTTATCCTTACTTATTCCTTATCCTATTCTTTTCCTATCCTTATCCTTATCCTTATCCTTATTCTATCCTATCCTAATGTCTTTGTCTCTTCTGGCCACGTTTCTCCCTCTTGATCTGCAGCAACACAAGAGGAAGCCAAGCTCCTGTTAAGAAATTTGGTTTTACCGACTGTCCTTGACTTGTAACTGGTCACTTATTATATGATAAGACCTGCCCCCTCCCCCCCCGCAAAGGGACTTATGACCTGCCCACCGTGGTCCCGTGAGGGCATTTTGAGTGCTTAGCCACCGGCCAATATTTACAGTTCAATTAGGGTTGTAAATCAAGGATCACACAATCATGTGACAGGCAGTCCTCGAGTTACAACAGTTCATTTAGTGACCGTTCCAAGTTACAACGGCACCGAAAAAAGTGACGTAGGACCATTTTTCACACTTACGACCATGGCAATAGCCCCACGGTCACGTGATCAAAATTGAGACGCTTGGCAACTGACTCATATTCATGACTGTCGCAGTGTCCCCGGGTCACGTGATCCCCCTTTTGCGACCTTTCGACAAGCAAAGTCAACGGGGGAAATCCAGATTTGCTTAACAACCGTGTCAGTTATTTCACAACTGCAGTGATTCACTTAACAACAAGTGGCAAGGCAGGTCGTAAAGTGGGGCCAAAACTCACTTAACAAATGCCTGACTTTACAACAGAAATGTTGGGCTCAATTGTGATCATAAGGCAAGGACTACCTGTACAAATTTAACAAACTGCAATGGTTCACTTAACAACAGCGGCAAGAAAAGTGGTAAAATGGAGCAAAACTCACTTAATTGTCTTTCTTTGGCAACACAGATTTTGGCCTCGGTTGTGGTCGTAAGTCGAGGACCACCTGTACACCAATTGGAGAGCTGGAATGAAAGATGCAAGATCAATCAGTTACACCAAGAAATGAACAACGCCTCTGCAGGTAGTCCTCGACTTACAACAATTCATTTAATAACGATTCAAAGTTGCAATAGTGCAAAAAAAAGTGACTTGCAACCATTTTTCACGCTTATGACCTTTTGATCACGGTCATGTGATCAAAATTCAGATGCTTGACCACCGAATTCACATTTGTGACGGTCATATTGTCCCCGGGGTCACATGATCCCCTTTTTGCGACCTTCTGAAAAACAAAGTCAATGGGGGAGAAAGCCGGATTCACTTAACAACGGTGTTACTCACTTAAGAGCTGCAGTGATTTGCTTAACAACGGTGGCAAGAAAGGTCATTAAATGGGGACAAACTCACTTAACAAATATTTCGCTTAGGAGACACAAATTCTGGCCTCAATTGTGGTCGTAAGTCGAGGACTAGCGCTTTTGCAAAATTGTAAGATGGACGGCTAATCTATTTTACCAATAAATAAAATATTTTCCATTCCCCCCCTCCAAATCTAAGTTCCAATTTGATGACAAGCATTGTTTTTAGATTCCCCCCCCCAAGAAAATATAGTGAGATAGTCCTCGCCGTAACCGCTCATTTAGTGACTGTTCAAAGTTACAACGGTGCTGGAAAAAAATGACTTCAGATCGTTTCTCACACTTACGACCGTTGCACCATCTCTGTGGTCACGTGATCAAAATTCAGGCATTTGGCAACTGTCTCATATTTACGACGGTTGTAGTGCGTCCCGGGGTCGTGTGATCCTCTCTTGCGACCTTTTGACAAAGCAAAGTCAACAGAGTAAGCCGGATTCGCTTAATGACGGCGTAACCCTTAATCCCTGTAACAACAGTGGCAAGAAAGGTCGTAAAATGGGGCCAAACTCACTTAAGAACTGTCTCACTTAACAACAGAAAGTTGCGGCTTTCAATTGTGGTCATACGTCGAGGACTATCTGCGTTGATACAAAGCAACAGTTTGATTGTCAGGGGCTAGCCTAGCCGGGCCAGGAGTTTCTCCTAAAACACAGAAATAAAGTCCCTAACCCCTTCCCCCAGTCATCCCAGCTGGGAGGGTGGGTGGTCTTTTCTGAGGATGATGGGCTTTGTATTCCATGGAGAAGATCCGGTAACTCTGCTTAATAGATTACTCATTGGGAGCTGTCCAGGGTGCTGAAATGTCCCATTAAGACGTTCTGAATTCTTTCTATCCATATTTTGCTTAAATTGTCTTATCGTTGACACCCAAAAAAGTCTAGGCTTATTAAGATATATAGATTAGCGGACTGGCAGATTTGCATTTTGCAAGAACCCCAAACAGCTTTGCATAGTAACCATGCAAATAATTACAATGCCAACACGTACGGGCAAATGGGACTATCCATTATGACTCTCGCTCTTCAGCGGAGATGTAAATACTCTGAAACGTAGGTGGGTAGTTTTATTTATCCTGATTCCTGGAACACTTTGGATGGAAAGTGATTTTTTAAAAAAAAATACTTTCAAGGACGTAAAATAAGTCTCGGCTGCCCCGGAGGATTAGTGGAATGGACCCTAGTCTGTGGAAATGCTTTGAGGATGGCTCTTTTCTTTTAAGGTGGTTAAATTAACCCTTTAATTGGTTAATTAAATTCAAAAGACATCGTTTAAGGTTGAGTTTCATTTAGCTTAGGAGCAAAAGAAAAGTCACTGGCCGACCACGCTTTATCATGGAAGATCCTGCAAAGAGGAAGGAACCAGATGAGCCGCTAAATCTATATCGGGACAGATATAAGCAGTCCCTGACTTACGAACACAACTGAGCCCAGAGTTTGTGTTGCCGAAGTGAGAAATTCGTTAAGTGAGTTCTCTCCCGTTTTATGGCTTTTCTTGCCGCATCTGTTAAGCGAATCACTGGCGTTGTTAAATGAGTAACCCGGTTGTTAAGCGAACTTGGCTCCCCCATTCACTTTGCTTCTCAGAAGGTCGCAAAAGGGTGGGGTGGGGGGGGTGTCACGTGACCCCTGGACACTACGACCGTCATAAATATGAATCAGTTGCCAAGCATCTGAATGTAGAACGCGTGACAATGGTCGTAAGTGTGAAGAAGGATCATAAGTCACTTTTTTCAGTGCCGTCGTAACTTTGATATAATTTGAGGATTATCTGAACTCTGTATATTATTTTAAAACAATGAGTATAGGTACTCCTTGACATATAACCATTTATTTAGCGATTGTTCAAAGTTACAAGGGTGCTGAAAAAAAGCGAATTATGACCAGTCCGTCCTCGCACTTACGACCGTCACAGTATCCCCACCATCATGTGATCAAAATTCGGGCCACTGACGTATTTACGACAGCTGCAGCATTAGGACGTCCTATGATTGCTCCTTGTGACTTTCTCGGCTGGCTTTTCTGGCAAGCCAAGTCAATGGGGAGAAGAAAGCCAGATTCACTTAACAACCTCCTGAGTCCCTGCCGTGATTCGCTTAACGACCGTTGGTAAAAAAAGGATTGTAAAATCACAATCGCAACTCATTTCACAACCGCCTTGCTTAACAACGGTAATCTTGAGCCCCAATTGTGGCCGTAAGCAACGGGTGGACCCAGCCACCCCGGCTTAATACCGTCTATTTAACTACGTTTTTGAGGCTGGGTGCACGTGTGAAAGGCACGCACGCATGAGAAGCGAGCGTGCACACATGCAGCAAAGGGTTGGTAAGACTGTGAAACCCACCAGTGGTCATAAATCGAGGACTACCTGTATATATTCCAAGTTTCTCTGGGTAGGAGCACATGCCACAAAGTGGATCATTTTCGTCTCTCTTCTTTGTGCCGGAGAAGCAGGACTTTTTCCTAGTTAGAAGGTGGATTTTTTTGCAGGCTGCTGGTTTCTTCCAAATTAGGTCTAAATCTAACTACTTGGGTCTCCTAAGTGGGTATTTATTGGTCCTTGGGGGTGGGTGGGGGGCTTTAGCCATTTCATTCTGATTTATTTTGATAGGTATTGGTTTTTCTGTTAATTTTAGCTTTCTTGGAAGGCGGCTATTTTAAGAGAAGACTAAATAAGTGGAGTAGAAGATAGGACAATACTGGATTTGAAGACAAGATTATTCCTTTCCTCTGTTTAATTAATCCTGGTTTGTAAAATAATGGGCGGTTGGCCAGGATCCGGAAAGCTCTCGAGTTAAAACCTGAGCAGCTTAACGTCAGGCAGAAGGAAAGTTTGACTCTAAGCCAATTACAAATATATACAATAGACAAATATATGCAACAGACAAATACAATATCCAAATACAGTTAGTCCTTGACTTACAACAGTTCGTTCAGTGACCGTTCCCAAGTGGGGGGAAAAAAGTGGCTTATGACCATTTTTCACACTTAACGACCCCTGCAGCATCTCCATGGTCACAGGATCGAAATTCGGATGCTCGGCCACTGTCTCGTATTTATGACGGCTTTGCAGTGTCCCGAGGTACCTTTTTGCGACCTTCTGACGGAGCAAAATCCACGGGGGAGTCTGATTCACTGAACAAACTTGTGACGGATTTAAACAACGGCGGTGATTCGCTGAACAAAAGGCAGTCAGTTGCAAAATGGGGGCAAAACTCATTGTAACAAATTCCTCACTTAACTACAATAAACTTTGGGCTCAGTTGTGATCGTAAGTCGAGGACTACCTGTATATACAACCTGGGGGTTACCGAGACATTTCAACGGCAAAATTTTCTGGAAATCAAACAAAGGTTTTCTTTCTTTGGCTGGGTGGATTCATTAAAAAAAAAAAAATGAAACAGAGATTTTAAAAAGAGAGAGAGAGAGAAAGAGAGGGAAGGAGAGAGAGGGAGAGAGAGAAGGAGAGAGAGGGGGAGAGAGGGAGAGAGAGGGAAAGAGAGGGAGAGAAAGAGGGAGAGAAAGGGGGAGAGGGAGGGAGAGACTGATAAGAAGAGAGGGAGGAAGAGAAAGAGGGAAAGAAAGAGGGAGAGAAAGGGGGAGAGGGAGGGAGAGACAGAGAGGAAGAGAGAGACGGAGAGATGGAGGGAGAGACGGAGAGGAAGAGAAAGAGAAAGAGGGAGAGAGAGAGAGGGGGAGAGAGGGAGAGAAAGAGGGAGGGAGAGGGAGAGAAAGGGGAGAGGGAGGGAGAGGGAGGGAGAGACGGAGAGGAAGAGAGAGACGGAGGGAGAGAAAGAGAGAGGAAGAGAAAGAGAAAGAGGGAGAGAGAGGGGGGAGAAAGGGAGAGAAAGAGGGAGAGGGAGGGAGAGACGGAGAGGAAGAGAGAGAGGGAGAGAGAGAGATGGAGGGAGAGGGAGAGGGAGAGGGAGGGAGAGACGGAGAGGAAGAGAGAGAGGGAGAGATGGAGGGAGAGACAGAGAGGAAGAGAAAGAGAAAGAGGGAAGAGAGGGGGGAGAGAGGGAGAGAAAGGGGAGAGGGAGGAAGAGATGGAGAGAAAGAGAGAGAGGGAGAGAGGAAGAGAGAGAGGGAGAGAGAGAAAGGAAGAGAAAGCGGGAGAGAAAGAGAGAGGGAGAGAAAGAGGGAGGGAGGGAGAAAGAGAGAGAGAGAGAGAGAGAGAAATTGATTCTCTTTAAAGACCCAGCATAGAATCATAAAATCCCAGGGCTGGAAAGGACCTTAGAGGTCTTCTAGTCCAACCCCCTGCCCAAGACAGGAGTCCTTACTGCATCCTAAACAAATGCCTTTTTTTGGGGGGAGGGTGAGTAGGGTGGGAGCCAGGAATGCCCTTGGGCAGCTGCCACCCAACCCCCCCCCCAAATTTGGTGCTCTTTCTTGGCAGGTGAAGTTAGCCAGAAAGCGAAGAGGTGACGTGAGAAGGGGGGGTGTCATCTGGCTTGGAGACCCCCGAGCTGGGTTAATTCAATGACCTTAAATACATTATTTCATTCCGAGGTTCTCTTGCGACTCTGGGAGCCAAGTAGGCCAGGCCACGGGTGTGTGTGTGTGTGTGTGTGTGTCAGGTTTGCCCCAGGAGGGAGGGGGCAAGGGTGGAGGGGGACGACAACGGAGCTTGTCCCAGAATCAGCCACGAGATTTTTGTCCGAAGGGAGACCCTGGAAAGAAATCTCAGGGGCTCCAGGTAGATTTTCCCTGAGTAGGAAGGAAAACTCTCTTCAGTTTTTTTTTTTAATTTGATTTATATGCCGCCCTTCTCCGGAGACTCAGGGCGGCTTACAATGCGCTAAGCAATAACTTTCATTCTTTTGTATATTTATACAAAGTCAGCTTATTGCCCCCACAAACTGGGTTTTCATTTAACCTACCTTAGAAAGGATGGAAGGCTGAGTCAACCTTGAGCCTGGGGAGATTCGAACTTACAGTAATTGCAGGCAGCTGGTGTTAAATTACAGTGCTTAGTCTGCAGAGCTATCCAGGCTCCTACCCAGGTTGTTCTGGCCATCCCACAAATTTTTTGGGGGGGGGCTGGGGGGGGAAGGGGGGGGAAGCTGGCTTTCAAGTGAAGCGTGTTCCTTTTGCTTCAGCACCAGACGTTGGGTTTGGGAGAGTCTAGTTATTAAAAAAACAGCAACACATACAGAAATTCACACCCTCCCTCCCAAATATCACGCTACTATTTACCTGGCCTGGTACTAAAGAACCTGCGTGGGTTGGGTTGGAAAATGATCCTTCCTCCCTCCCTCCCTTCCCCCTTTCACACATCTTCTTTCCTTTTTCTTGTACTTCCTTCCTTCCTTCCCTCTGTTCCTCCTTCCTTCTTTCCCCTTTTCACACCTTCCTTTCCCCTTCCTTGTATTTCCTTCCTTCCCCCTTCCTACCTTCTTTCCTTCCTTTCACAACCTTCCTTCTCTTTTTCCCACCTTCCTTCTTTTTCCTTGTATTTCTTTCCTTCCTTCCTCCTTTCACACCTTCCTTCTTCCTTTCACACCTTCCTTCTTTTCCTTGTATTTCTTTCCTTCCTTCCTCCTTTCACAACCTTCCTTCTCCCTTTCACCTTCCTTCTTTTTCCTTGTATTTCTTTCCTTCCTTCCTCCTTTCACACCTTCCTTCTTCCTTTCACACCTTCCTTCTTTTTCCTTGTATTTCTTTCCTTTCTTCCTCCTTTCACACCTTCCTTCTCCCTTTCACACCTTCCTTCTTTTTCCTTGTATTTCTTTCCTTCCTTCCTCCTTTCAAACCTTCCTTCTCCCTTTCACACCTTCCTTCCTTTTCTTGTATTTCCTTCCTTCCCCTTCCTTCCTTCCTTCTTTCACACCTTCCTTCTTTTTCTTCTATTTCTTTCTTTCCTTCCTTCCTTCCTCCTTTCACACCTTCCTTCTCCCTTTCACATACCTTCCTTCCTTTTTCTTATGTTTCCTTCCTTCCCTCCCTCCTTTCCCCTTTCATACCTTCCTTCCTTTTCCTTGTATTTCCTCCCTCCTTCCCTCCCTCCTTCCTCCCATCCCTCTGTTCCTCCTTCCTTCTTTCCTCCTTTCATACCTTCCTTCTTTTTCCTTGTATTTCCTTCCTTCCTTCCACCATTCACCCCTTCCTTCTCCCTTTCACACCCCTTCCTTCCTTCCTTTTTCTTGTGTTTCCTTCCTTCCCTCCCTCCTTTCCCTTTTCACACCTTCCTTTCTTTTCCTTCCTTCCTTTCTTGCGGTCCTTCCTTCCCTCCTTCCAGCCCCTTCTCCTCTCCCCCTGCTGGGATTAAAAAGAAAGCCACTTTCTCACCTGTCCTTCAAAAGTCAGCCTCTGCCAGGGGGATCTCCAGAAAGCAGCCAGAGCTGGGAGATCCTCTTTTTATAGTCTATGAGAAAGACAGCTGGGAGGGGTTTTTTGGGGGGGGGCTGACTGTGAGAGAGTTGGGCCTTTCTGCCTCCTCCCCCCTGTTTCATGCGGGCCAATGAGCTGCCGGCTGCCCACCCTCTCCCTGGTATATGGCAAAGGGACAATGACATCATAGATGGAGCCTGAATTTCAGAATAAGAGTCTCCTCCCATCGGGGTGGGGCTGGAGAGAAAAGCTGCTAGCAACAGGTCTGGGGAAGATTTTGGGTGGGGGGCTGGGGGCTCTATGGAGTCTGAAATGCATCCATTTCCTTTTTCCTTCCTAAAAATAAATTTACTGATTTGTTCAGGAGAACAAATGCATACAGTTTTTTTTCTAACTAGAAATTCCTTCATTTTTTCAACTTTAACAGTAATTATGCTACTGGATTTATTTATTTATTCTGTATGACGTAACAGACTATAGCAGAATAACAGAGTTGGAAGGGACCTTGGAGGTTTTAGTCCAACCTCCTGCTCAAGCAGTAAACCCTATACCAGTGTTGGCGAACCTTTTCGGCACCAAGTGCCAAAACAGGAGCGCGCATGGGGTGATGGTGGTGATAGCGCTGGAAACTGGAAGAGCAGCTCCTTGACGTACATGCACGGGAGCATCTGAAACTGGAAGAGCAGTTCCCTGGCATGCATGCGCACGCCAGGAAACTGAGCTTTCGGTTTCTGGCACGCACATGCGCACCGGTCACCTGGTCTTCTGATTTCTGGTACGCATGCATGCGCGAAGACTAGATGGCAAACCCGGAAGAGCAATTTATTTATTTATTTATTTATTTATTTATTTATTTATTTATTTATTAGTTTGATTTATATGCCGCCCTTCTCCGGAGACTCAGGGCAGCTTACAATGCTTTTAAGCAATAGCCTTCATACTTTTGTATATACCTGCTTAGTAGGGCTTTTGCCCCCCCCCAAGCAGTGTTCTATTTTATACAAAGTCTGCTTATTGCCCCCACAAACCGGGTCCTCATTTTACCTACCTCGGAAGGATGGAAGGCTGAGTTAACCTTGACTTAATCACAATCACTCAAGTATGAGCCAACAGTGTGTGGCAGCAGCCGAAAAAGCTAGGCTGCATTAACAGACGGATAGACTCAAGATCACATGTAGTGTTACTACAACTTTACAATGCCTTTGGTAAGTCCACACTTGGAATACTGCATCCAATTTGGGTCACCATATGATAAAAAAAAGACTCCAGAAAGAGTGCAGCAACAAAGATGATTAGGGGGCTGGAGCAGTGGTGGGTTCCTCCCGGTTTAGTCCGGTTCGGCCGAGCCAGTAGCAGTGACGATATGATGTCACCGAACCGGTTCTCCCACCCCCCCACACCCCCACGTTATTCTTACCTTTTATTTGGTCCCACCCCCAATCTATTGCTGCCTCCTGAGTCCCAGCTGATGACTAGAGGGAAAAAAAACTGTTTAAACTCTTGCCGGGGGGCTTCAAAGGGCCGTCCTACAGCTGATCAGTGTTAAAAGCAAACAAATGAGTCGGGTCGTAAGTGCGAGGACCTTCCAGAAATGACTCTGACCAGCTAGCCACGCCCACCTAGTCACATGACCTCCAAGCCACACCCACAAAATAAGCCACGCCCACAGAACCGGTAGTAACAAAAATTTAGAACCCACCCCTGGGCTGGAGGCTAAAACATACAAAGAACGGTTGCAGGAATTGGATATGGCCAGTCTAGAGAAAAGAAGGACTAGGAGGGACATGATAGCAGTTTTCCAATATTTGAGGGGCTGCCCCAAAGACGAGGGGGTCCACCTATTCTCCAAAGCCCCTGAAGGCAGGACAAGAAGCAATGGGTGGAAATTAATCAAGGAGAGAAGCAACCTGGAATTAATGAGAAACTTCCTGACACTTAGAACAATTAATGACTTGCCTCCAGAAGTTATGGGTGCTCTATCACTGGAGGTTTTCAAGAAGAGATTGGACAACAATTTGTCTGAAATGGTATAGAGCCGTGATGGCGAACCTATGGCACGTGTGCCCAAAGTGGCACGTAAAGCCATGTCGCCCGGCACACCCAGCCTTGCCTGTTTGTCTTCCGGGTTTCTGACGCACCTGCGGGCATGACAATCAGCTGTCCTTTGTGTGCGCGGCAGTGCCAAAACCAGTGTGTGCATGCACGCCGGCCAGCTGTTTGTTGGCTGCACATGCGTACCAGAACCCGGAAGTTCAGCTTTTCCGCCGCGCGATAACTTTACATGCGCGGCAGTGCCGAAAACTGGCCTGTGCATGCGTGACGGCCAGCTGATCGTCAGGCCCGCATGTGCGCTAGGACCCGGAAGTTCAGCTTTTCCGGAGCGCAGCCCTGATCAGTGTGCACGCGCGTGACGTTTCCGTGTGACCTTTTTGGCACTCGGTGTCGAAAAGATTCGCCATCACTGGTATAGAGTCTCCTGCCTGAGGAGGGGGTTGGAGTAGAAGACCTCTGAGTTCCCTTTCAACTTCGTTATTCTGATGATCTCCCTTGGCTTCATTTATCTTACTGGCTTACTCTTAATGGAAACAGCTTACAAGAAGTGACCTTCATTAACAGGGAGAGTCTTCATTAACATCGTGGTGTAAATGGAGTAGCGCAGCCAACTGAACCCTGAAAAAAAATTAAAAACAACCAGACCCTTCTTCACCGCAGATCAGTGGTGGGTTTCAAAATTTTTTTACTACCGGTTCTGTGGGTGTGGTTTGGTGGGTGTGGCATGGCTTGGTGGGCGTGGCAGGGTAAGGATACTGCAAAATCTCCATTCCCTCCCCAATCCAGGGGAAGGTTACTGCAAAATCCCCATTTCCTCCTGATCAGCTGGGACTTGGGAGGCAGAGAATAGATGGGGGCGGGGCCAGTCAGAATTTTTACTACCGGTTCTCCGAACGACTCAGAATTTCCGCAGCCGGTTCGCCAGAACTGGTCAGAACCTGCTGAAACCCACCTCTGCCGCAGATGTTGTTAAGTGAATCCGGCTTCCCTGTTGATTTTGCTTGTCAGAAGGTCGCAAAAGCGGATCCCGTAAACTGTGGGACACTGCAACCGCCAATACGAGCCAGCTGCCGAGCGGCTGAATTTTTATCACATGAACACGGGGATGCTGAAATGGTCGTAAGTATGAAAAACCAATGTAAAATTCCTTTTTTTCCCCCAGTGCTGTTGTAACGCTGAACCCTCACTAAACAAACGGTTGTTAAATCGAGGACTATTGTAAATCCCAACCCCGATCATCTATGGGTGCCTACTGAAGAAAGCCACGCCAAACTTGGTGTTTGACCCCCCCCCTGTGTAAACCTTCCCAGCAGTGATGGGATTCAGCCGGTTCGCACCACTTCGGGAGAACCGGTTGTTAACTTTCTGAGCAGTTTGGCAAACTGATTGTTGGAAGAACTCATTAGGGCAGAGAACCGGTTGTTAAATTACTTGAATCCCACTACTGCTTCCCAGGGTATCTTCAAACTCCTAACGCCGAGAATCCATTTTGGCAAGGCAACCGACCATCCAATAAAGCCAATTAAAGTCCGTGCAACGGAAGCCATGTCGGTGGAAGGAACCGCAGCACAAACGGACGGTTTGTGCATCCTCGGTCTTGCATCTCCAGTTTGTGCTTTTCGACAACCCCTCAGCATCTCCGGAGAAGGAGAGGCCTCGGCGCCTAATGGGAGGGAGTCCGCGGAGGGCACGGACGGCGAGGAGGCCTCTGCCTCGGGGGACAGCCGTCCACAATCAGCCGAACCCCAGAGGCTGCCTCAACCCAGCTAGCGCCAATCATCCTGAACGTTTGAAAAAAAACGAGGAACTTTTCGCAATCCGGCTGGATTCATTAAGGAGAACCAGGGACATGAAACGAGAGTGGGAAAGATTCATCAAGTTGCCAGCATCGCTGGAAAGGGGTTTTGGGGTTTGGCTCGCTTGATACCAAGGCCGATGTCCTTGTAATAAAAGGAGTAAAGGGAAAAGATTTTGCTCTCCGTCGTCTTTTGTTTTATTTACTTTATTTACTTTGCATTTTATTTTGCCTTTTATTAGTTTTACAAATAGCTCAAGACACCGAACATATCTAATATGCCTTCCTGCTCCTATTTTCCCCACAGCAACCCCTGTGAGGTGATAGCTCTGGAGTCTGGAGAGAGAGAGAGAGAGAGATTGGCCGCATCACCTCGATGGCTTTCATATCTAAGACGAGGCTAGAACTCCCAAGTCGCCTGGTAATTGGGCCAAAGTCACCCAAGCTGACTTTTGTGTCTAAAACGGGGTTAGAACTCGCCGTCTCCTGGTGATTGGCCTAAAGTCACCCAGCCGCCTTTCATACCTAAGGTGGAACTAGAACTCCTGGTCTCCTGGTGATTGTTAGCCGGCTTTCATACCTAAGGTGGAACTAGAACTCCTGGTCTCCTGGTAATTGGCCAGCTGGCTTTCATACCTAAGGTGGAACTAGAATTCCTGGTCTCCTGGTGATTGTCAGTCGACTTTCATACCTAAGGTGGAACTAGAACTCCTGGTCTCCTGGTGATTGGCCAGCTGGCTTTCATACCTAAGGTGGAACTAGAACTCCTGGTCTCCTGGTGATTGGCCAGCTGGCTTTCATACCTAAGGTGGAACTAGAATTCCTGGTCTCCTGGTGATTGTCAGCCGACTTTCATACCTAAGGTGGAACTAGAACTCCTGGTCTCCTGGTGATTGGCCAGCTGGCTTTCATACCTAAGGTGGAACTAGAACTCCTGGTCTCCTGGTGATTGGCCAGCTGGCTTTCATACCTAAGGTGGAACTAGAATTCCTGGTCTCCTGGTGATTGTCAGCCGACTTTCATACCTAAGGTGGAACTAGAATCCTGGTCTCCTGGTGTTTGGCCCAAAGTCACCCAGCCGCCTTTCATACCTAAGGTGGAACTAGAACTCCTGGTCTCCTGGTGATTGGCCAGCCGCCTTTCATACCTAAGGTGGAACTAGAACTCCTGGTCTCCTGGTGATTGGCCCAAAGTCACCCAGCCGCCTTTCATACCTAAGGTGGAACTAGAACTCGTGGACTCCTGGTGATTGTCAGCCGGCTTTCATACCTAAGGTGGAACTAGAACTCCTGGTCTCCTGGTGATTGTCAGCCTGCTTTCATACCTAAGGTAGAACTAGAACTCCTGGTCTCCTGGTGATTGGCCCAAAGTGACCCAGCCGCCTTTCATACCTAAGGTGGAACTAGAACTCCTGGTCTCCTGTTGATTGCCAGCTGGCTTTCATACCTAAGATGGAACTAGAACTCCTGGTCTCCTGGTGATTGTCAGCAACTTTCATACCTAAGGTGGAACTAGAACTCCTGGTCTCCTGGTGATTGTCAGCCGGCTTTCATACCTAAGGTGGAACTAGAACTCCTGTTCTCCTGGTGATTGTCAGCCGGTTTTCATACCTAAGGTGGAACTAGAACTCCTGTCTCCTGGTGATTGTCAGACGGCTTTCATACCTAAGGTGGAACTAGAATTCTGGTCTCCTGGTGATTGTCAGCCGGCTTTCATACCTAAGGTGGAACTAGAACTCCTGTTCTCCTGGTGTGATTGTCAGCTGGCTTTCATACCTAAGGTGGAACTAGAACTCCTGTTCTCCTGGTGATTGTCAGCCGGCTTTCATACCTAAGGTGGAACTAGAATCCTGGTCTCCTGGTGATTGGCCCAAAGTCACCCAGCTGCCTTTCATACCTAAAGTGGAATTAGAATTCCTGGTCTCCTGATGATTGGCACAAAGTCACCCAGTCAATTTTCTTGCCTAAGGCAGAACTAGAACTCACAGTCTCCTTCTTTTTAGCCTGGTGCCTTAACCACTGTACCAAACTGGCTACTTTGCTACTGATTTGGCTTGTTAGAAGTTAGTAAAGAAGCTCACATTGTTTCTCAATCTGGCTAGGGAATTCTGGGAATTGGAGTCCACCCTTCTTAAAGCATGGTCGCTGGGGAATTCTGGGAATCGGAGACCATGCATTTTTAAATTGGCAAGATTGATCTACACTATCGACCTGAGCAATTTAACACTTGCTTAAATCTGTGTTGCTTTGCCTATACTTTAAACGTTATACAGTACTTTCGTTTTTAAAATTCGTTTTTAATGTGTGCTTTTTAGAAAGGCTGTATCAATGTCGGTGTTATTATTACGCTTAATTCCAATGACTTCCTTTCAATGAGGTGGAGGATTTCAAAGCAATCCTTGAAAATATGTTTGTTAGATTTCATTTTTTAAAAAAGAGAAATTTTGATTAGAAAGTGTATAAAATAAGTATTGGTCAATAAATGGTATTTCTGAAGTTTTATCTTTTTGCCACCGTTTAATTTCTCTGGGTGTACAAAGATGGATTTTGATATCTGTGTGGGTTCTGACCTCTGCTGGCAAATTTTCCAACGTGAAGGAAACACTGAATTGAGGAGTTACTCTGAAGGGAAAAATCCAAGCCAAGTGTTATGAGTAATCAGTTCCTTCATTTCCAACCACAATTTCCATTACTACAACTCTTGTTAAGTAAGTCATGCCCAATTTTACAACCTATTTTTGTCACGGTTGTTAAGCGAATCACTGACGTTGTTAAGTGAATCACCCAGTCGTTAAGCGAATCCGGCTTCCTCCGTTGACTTCGCTTGTTGGAAACGGGCTGGGCTGGGAAAGTAATAAATGGGGATCACGTCACCTCAGGACACTTGCAACCATTGAAAATACATGCTGGTATTTTGATCCCATGACTGTGGGAATGCGGCAACGGTCGTAAGTGTGAGGACCATTTGGGAGTCACTTTTTTCTGTGCTAAAAGTGGTAACTTTGAACAGTTGCTAAACAAATACTTGTAAATTGAGGATTAGCTGTACAACCAAACTCTAAAAAAAATACTATTGTATAAACACACCAGCGAGGAAGATCCAAGGGGACCCAAGACCCAGCGAGGAAGTACAATCACACCTGGTTGCAGTGAATTTCACAGTTTGTTGCATTTCATAGTCCATTTTGGCTGGGGAATTCTGGGAGTTGAAGGCCACCTTGCCTGAGGATAACTGGAAGTCGAACTTCACCCTGGCTGGGGAATTCTGGGAGATGAAATCCATCCTGGCTGGGGAATTCTGGGAGATGAAGTTCACCCTGGCTAGGGAATTCTGGGAATTGAAGTCAATCCTGCCTTGGGATATCTGGAAGTCGAAGTTCACCCTAGCCAGGGAATGCTGGGAGTTGAAGTCCCCCCTGGGTGGGGAATTCTGGGAAATGAAGTTCACCCTGGCTGGGGAATTCTGGGAATCGAAGTCAACCCTGGCTGGGGAATTCTGGGAATCGAAGTCAACCCTGGCTGGGGAATTCTGGGAATCGAAGTCAACCCTGGCTGGGGAATTCTGGGAATCAAAGGCCACCTTGACTGAGGAATTCTCAAAGTTCACCATGGCCAGGGAATTCTGGGAGATGAAGTTCATCCTAGCCAGGGAATGCTGGGAGTTGAAGTCCCCCCTGGCTGGGGAATTTTGGGAGTCGCAGGCCCCCCTGACTGGGGAATTCTGGGAATCAAAGGCCACCTTGACTGAGGAATTCTCGAAGTTCACCATGGCCAGGGAATTCTGGGAGATGAAGTTCATCCTGGCTGGGGAATTCTGAGAATCGAAGTCAACCCTGGCTGGGGAATTCTGGGAATCGAAGTTCACTCTAGCCAGGGAATTCTGGGGGTTGAAGTCCCCCCTGGGTGGGTTAATTCTGGGAGTCAAAGGCCACCCTGGATGGGGAATTCTTGGAGTTGAAGTTCACCCTGGCTGGGGATATCTGGAAGTTGAAGTCGCTGGGGATTCTGGGAGTTGAAGTCAACCCTGGTTCGCGAATTCTGGGAATCAAAGTCAACCCTGGTTTGGGAATTCTGGGAATCAAAGTCAACCCTGGTTTGGGAATTCTGGGAATCAAAGTCAACCCTGGTTTGGGAATTCTGGGAATCAAAGTCCAACCTGGCTGGGGATATCTGGAAGTTGAAGTTCACCCTGGCCAGGGAATTCTGGGAGATAAAATCCATCCTGGATAGGGAATTCTGGGAGTCGAAGTCCACTCTGTCTGTAGAATCCTGTGGTACCTCAAAAAGGGCTACACATTGAGGCCACCGCTCCTTTTATTTCATTCAGTGGGATCCACAGCCCAGAAAAACAAATTCTGGAAAATATCCCTGCATGAATCCAATTGAGAGAAGGGTTGAAATTAACCTAAATCAAAAGTTTATAAGCAGGATTTTTGCTTCGAGAGATGCACAGGGATAAAAGGAAGAAGAACCCAGGGATATTTCAGAAATAGAATAGAAACCTTTTTTTTTATTTTTTTGCAGGAATATCCAAAGTATTTAATATGAAGGAAGAATAAAAAGCTTTCTTATAGGAGGGTTTCCGTAGTGTAGCGGTTATCACGTTCGCCTCACACGCGAAAGGTCCCCGGTTCAATCCCGGGCGGAAACATTTTTTTTTTTTAAATTTAATTTATTGTTATTGTTTGCATTCAAGTTGCAATTCAGAATTGCACTGGCTTAAAAGAGTTTCCAAGTTTCTTTTTCCTCCTTTTTCAATGAATGGGTCACTTTAATCGAATCAGCCTCGTTCTTGCATGGTGCAAAGCAATCAGAGAAACAAAAATTAAAATTGCAGCAGTCAAGACCCCCCCACCCCACGAAATAAAGACGGATTTCTTTGCCAGGGGACGCTGCATTGGTGGGTTTGCAGGAATTGGGGGAGGAACAGGATGGGGAAAAGGGTGGAAGGGGGATTCAGGGGCTTCAGAGAGGATTTCAACCCGGGGGTGCTTGATGGCAATCTGGGGGTATCATTTCTAGTAAATATAAGCAAAGTTGGTTTATAGGTAAGTAAATAGTAAAAACAACTTTGCGTTGGCCGGGAATCGAACCCGGGTCAACTGCTTGGAAGGCAGCTATGCTAACCACTATACCACCAACGCCGCTTCATTTTCGGTTTCGTTTTAGATCCATTCAAAGTTTCATTTGATACGGGCGATACCATTTCTGAAAATGAATATTGTTTTTCTGCATTAAATGTCGTTCACCCGAAAGATTTTTTAAAATCCTCGGCAGGGAACAAGAGAGAAACAGCTATTTGGCTGGGTCGGTCTATTTTCTTTTCCTGGGAGGCACAACCTCCGTCCCTCCTTTTTTTAAGGAAATGGTTTCTTCCGCCTCAGGTGCCGGGATCCACCCCACTGGTGACCTTGGCAACGCCGGCCGCTGCCATGGCAACGCGGCCCAACGCCGCCATTCCCCTCTTTCGGGAATCGTTCCGTCCAAAGCAAGGCTTACACACCCTTATTTTATTTTCCTTTTTACACAAAACTGTAATGTCGTTTATAGGTTTTCCGTTTGTAATTCTCAGGAGTTAGTTACGGGACGGCAGATACGGAGCGCGAAAAGCCAAAAAGCGACACAGTTTTGTAATTCTCATTCGTGTTTTTATTTCCTAGCTCCTCCAATCCTTTTCTCTCAGCCACGCTATTCTTCTCCCCAATTTTACTGAATGGTTCCTTCCAGATCCCCCCCTTTGATATTTTCAATGAAATGGTCCCCGCCCATCAATCTCCAAACTGGGACTCCGCGCCTTTTTATTTTCCTCCCTAATTCTCGCGAGATCATGCCTCACCGGAGTTTTATGCACCCTCACCTCTCGCGAGAACTTAGAAAGAATCCCTCCCTCCCTCAGTTCTCCCCCCACTCCCGTCCTTCTCGCGAGATGACGCAGCATCCCGAGGGAGGCCGATACCAACTTCCGTTTCCGGGCGAAAGGTCGCGGTGGGAGGCTCGAAGTGGCCGGCGGTTTCCCTTCCCCCCCCTCCTTCCCCCGTTTCCGGGACCTCCTGAGTCCACAGGAAAGGAAATGGAGCGGGAGTGACGCCGCCGCGGGACCTCCCGACCCCTCCCTCCCCCCTTTTCCCCCCCACAGCGGACAAACCACGGCCTTGGGGGAGGCCGGCTCAGCCACGTCGTGAGTGGTAAGGTGGATGGGTGGGTGGGGAGGAAGCCCCGCCCTTGAGGAGCGCTGGCCACGCCCCCAGGGAACGCGCGGCCTGGCCACGCCCTTGCGGAGGACGTAAGGCTGTATATATATATATGTGTGTGTGGTGGGGGGAGGTTGTTGGTTCCCAACGGCCGCAGCTCGCGTGCTGGCACGGGTGGGCGGGGCTTGTGGCCACGCCCTCCGCGGGGTGGGGAGGGAGAGCGAGGCCACGCCATCTTGCGGCCGCCCTCCAGGGAGCGTGGCCACGCCCCTCGGACCCTGGACTCACGTGATGCGCGCGCCGGGGCCGGAGAGGAGGCGAGCCCGGGCAGCGCCTGGAGGCGTTTGGGGGTTCCGGAGGGTGATGGGGAGCTGCGGAGCCGGCCTGGCCCGGGATTGCCCTCGCTTGCCCTGGGCTGGAGCTGCAGCGTGAGAAAAAAAAGGGTAGCGAGGGATTCATTCATGGCTTCTCCTCTGCAGGGCTTCTCCACCTGGGCTGCTTTCAGATGGGGGGGGCGGACTGCAACTCCCAGAATTCCCCAGGCAGCAAAGCTGCCTGGGGAATTCTGGGAGTTGTAGTCTCCCCCATCTGAAAGCTGCCAAGATAGAGAGAATTAGCTCTATTGGCTCTGGGTGGAAGGTGGATGCTTCAGGGAGGTGACCTTTGGAGGAAGAAGGGAGATAATGCACCCTGGAATGGAATAAACCTTCTTGGGCTGCCTCTTTAACTGGGTTCTCCTGCAACCATTTGCTTGCCCCCCCCCTTGTTTTATCAGCTGGAGTTCCACTAGACTGGCATCAAATGGGTGGAGGGGGAATTGTGGTTTTGTGTGTGTGTGTGTAATAGAATGGCTGTGGTTGTAGGGTGTTGTCTTTCATTTCTTTTCTTGATTGCATGGCAAAGCCTGTTGTTACGAATCCGTACCTTGGCAGCTGGGGGTTGGATTGCGGGGTCCCTGGGGTGCTCTCTCGGAGCAGGGTGGTGGGTTTTCTTTCGCAGGCGTTTCGTGACCCGTCTTCGTCACGTGAGACTTTCAAGAAGAGACTGGGCTGCCATTTGTCAGACATGGTGTAGGGCAGTGGTTCTCAATCTGTGGGTTGGGGGTCGAATAACCCTTTCACAGGGGTCACCTAAGACCAGAAAAGACATATTTTCAATGGTTTTAGGAATAATTTTATGGTTGGGGGTCACCGCAACATGAGGAACTGGATTAAAGGGTCGCGGCATTAGGAAGGTTGAGACCCACTGGTGTAGGGTCTCCTGCTTGGGCGGGTGTGGGGGTTGGACTAGATGACCTACCAGGTCCCTTCCAACTCTGTTAATCTGTTAAATCTAGGGAACATCGTCAGTGCCGGAAGGGACCGGGGGTTTGCAGAGAGGAGGATGAGAAGGATTGTGGGGTCCTTGAGGTTCTCTGAGCTTGATGGTTTTCTTGCAGACGTTTCATCTCCAAGCTAGGTAACATCATCAGTGCAAGGGGGGGTTGTGGAGAAGAAGAAGAGGAAGAAAACGACTTTGGGATATTTAGTGCTCTTTGAACTTGGTGGTTTTCTTGCAGGCATTTCATGACCCAGCTAGGTAACATCATCAGTGCTAGAAGGGAGTGGGGTTTGTGGAGAGGAGGAGGATGGTGGGCTCCTTGGTGCCCTCTGAGCTTGGTGGTTTTCTTGCAGGCGTTTCACAGCCCATCTAGGTAATATCATTACCAAGAAGGTCGCAGTTGTATGGATCGGCTGCTGTCACGTGAAGCAATAACAAAATGCAGTAATTTATTTTTAAGTTTTAAAGGTGGTTGTGCGAGCCCAGCAATTATATTGGATTAAGCCGGGTTGGACATGGTCTTTGTATCCAGTCCAGAGGGCGAGTTTGGTAAATTAAGGTGGGAGTCAGGTCTGCAACATCGCAAGACCCTTGATTACGGTAGTCCTTTCTGGCTAAATTTGAATTAAAACATGTTATCAAACTAGTGATGGGAAAAGTCAGGCCAATAGAGGAGAGATTATTACTCAGGGCTGAATTGTGAGGCCCTGGATGTTCTCTGAGCTTTGTTGTTGTCTCTTTTGCAGACATTTCAAGCAAAAACTCCAGGCCTATTACATTAACATTCATTTTCAAATTCAAAAAAAATTCTATTTATGAAAGCTAAGCTTGCCTGATCTGTGGGGTCATTGATGCCCTCTCTGTTTTTGTCTGGGGGGGAAAAAAACCCCACACAAGCTCAGAGCATCAACGATCAGGCCAACCTTTATTTTGACAGGTGAACGTTAATGTAATAGGCCTGGGATTCCTGAGTCATGTCAATTATAAAAGTTATAAACCTTATCTACCGTATTGCAGCCTCAGCATACAATTTGGCATGCAATCCACTTGTGTGGGGGTCTTTCATTTAGGAGCTAGATAATTATGCATGCGGATGGGCACTTTTGTTCTCTTCCGTGAAAATGCTAGATCTTCTAATAAACATTTTTCAGAATGGAGGGTTTTTCCCCCCCTTAAAAAAGAATCTACAGACCGTTCACTTTCATTCTTGCGATTGCTAGCAGATTCCAGAATTAACATGCGGAAGCTCTCCGATTCAGCGCTTGGTGCTGCCCTGTAACGTTTGAGGAAAACAACAGAATTGCAGAGTTGGAAGAGATCTTGGGAGGTCTTCTAGTCCAGGCAGGAAATTACCATTCCAGACAAATGGTGATCCAATCTCTTCTTAAAAACTTCCAGTGTTGGGAGCATCCACAACTTCTGGAGGCAATTCATCGTTCTACTTACTAATTGTCCTAACCGTCAGGAAATTTCTCCTTAGTTCTGGGTTACTGAAATGTTTAAAAGGTAGTTGCCTGCTATTCTGCAATACAGAATCCTTTATGGGCCACATAATTTCACAATATGTTCGGATGGATCAGGACCCAAACCTACAATTGATTTAAATTAATTGCATACAGTTTATGGAATTGCTTGCCATTGTTTAGTATTTTTCCTTTAATGTTGCCTTTAAAATTGCAATAATAAGTGGTTGGATCTTGCCTAAGGCTGGTGGGTGGGGGGAGTTATGAGTTGGGCACTCTTAACTCAAAGAAATTATTTTGATTCAGATTTTATGGGTGAAGTAAAATGCCTTTTAGCTAAACTGTTTAATTAGTGGCCTCTCTCACGCTCTTGTTTTTCTTTTTTCTTCCACACAGTTTCTTATCCCGTCTAAGGCTCGCTTAGCAGTTGATGCAGAAAATAAAGAGGGCTCGGCTGGAAAACGAAAGCACAGGAAGTTGGAGAAGGTAACTTTCTTTAGGAGGCCTGTTTTCTCTTTCAGGAAGCAGGAATTGTCCATTTCTGCAACGTAAGAACAGGCAGCCACAGCTTATAGCAGGTTGTTCCATGTTGCTGGTCATAATATTTACTTTTGGATGGGGAAAAGGTGGCATTTTGCTCTCAAATTAGAAAGCTCGCTCGACACTTGTGCAGGTAGTTTTGCAAACGTGGTGCTTTGAATTTGAAACTGGGCGCTTTCATAGAATCCTAGAGTTTTAGAAGGGATCTTGGAGGTCTTCTAGTCCAACCCTCTGCCGAAGGCAAAGTCTTTATACCACCAGAGACAACCATTCCAATATTTTCTTGAAAACCTCCAGCAATGGCATGCCCACAACTCCATACTGTTTAATATTTCTCCCTATGGGGTCCTTGGTGCTCTCTGAGCTTGGTTGTTTTCTTGCAGACTTCTCATTACCCTACTAGGTAACATCATCAGTGCTAGAAGAGAGTGGGAGTTGGAGGCCGGCTGTTGGGGTCCCTGATGCTCTCTGAGCTTGGTTGTTTTTTTTTCTAGTTCTTTGTTTATATGCATCTCAACCCAAGACAAAATCATGTAGATGCTTAGACTATCTTTAAATCTCTGCGTCCTTCGGAAAATGTTTGCTGTTTTGTCCCCCATAATCACCTAAGCAAGGGACATGATGACTTAGTTTGTGTATGTGTGGTGAGGTTTGACTTTGAAAATGAGGAAGGCAGTTTGCCATATTTAATCAGCAGGGGGTTAGATCATTTATGACTCTCTCTCTCTTAAACTGACCTTCAAAATATAACTCTGCCTTAAAATAAGCTATGGCTTCATCCATAGGAGCTCTTTCCCTTTCCTTTTTAATGTGGGTTTCTTTAGTTCCTCATTGCCCTAGGTTGTGCAGTTTGGGCCCGGTTTTTTTAACGTGGACATTTTGTTTTTGTTTTTTTAAAAAAAAAATCCCGGAGAAAATAAAAACTCTTTGTCTTCCAAAATTTCTTACAGAGCTGTGGAGGCATTTTAAAAAGGCTATTTATTAGGTCTTGGAGATGTTGAAATCAAGGTGCCATTCCCTGGAATGGGTAGGGGGTGGAATTCTTCAAACAGGATTTTATAGTTGCCCGTGAAGATTTATTTTGAGTTGAAGATTTGAGTTTATTATTTTTTTTCTAAGTCAACTTCAAGGGGGCAGTTTGGACACGCCTTCCCTCCTTCGATACTGATTTCCCTTTCCTGTGAGTTGGATGTTCCTTTTTCAGAACATAGAATCAGAGCGCTGAAAGGGACTTAAGAGGTCTTCTAGTCCAACCCAAAGCAGGAGACCTTACACCAGCGGTCCCCACGCTTTTCCAGCTGCCCGGCCTGGCATGTGTGTGTGTGTGTGTGTGTGTGTCAGGAGCTAGCTGGCGCACAAATCCATTTGTGTGAGGGACAGGCGTGCTTGCCTTCCATTTTGCACAAATGGAGCTTCGTGTGTGAGCGGAGGGTACTTGGGCTCAACGCGCGAAGCTCCACTCACACAAGCGGCAGGCGCTTGTGCTCACACTTGAAGCTTCCCTCGCACGAGGGGAGGGCCCTCACGCTGAAATCCATTTGCGTGCAAGGGCAAGCATCCTCGGCTCGCGCATGTGGAGCTTCACCCACTTGTTTTCCCATCTCCCGCGCAGCCCGGTTTTGAAAAGGCCACGGCCTGCTAGTGGGTCGCAGCCCAGGCCTTGGGCACCCCTGTTTTATACCATCCTGGTCAAGTGGTCACCCAGTATTATTTTTAAAAACCTCTAGTGTTTTTAACCCCCACAACTCCTGGAGGCAAGCTATTCCACTGATAAAATTGTTCTCAGGAAATTTCTCCTTATTTCTTAGTTGTATCACTCTTTAATGAGCTTCTACCCATTCGTTGCTTCTTGCCCTGCCTTGAGGTGCTCTGGAAAATCGGTTGAGACGCTCTTCTTTGTGGCAGCCCCTCAAGTACTTTGTTGTTAGTTGCGAAGTCGTGTCCAACCCATCGCGACCCGACGTTGAACCATGGGCAACGTTCCTCCAGGCCTTCCTGTCCTCTACCATCCTCTGGAGTCCATTTAAGCTCACGCCGACTGCTTCAGTGTCTCCATCCAGCCACCTTGGTCTCTGCCGTCTCCTTCTTTTGCCCTCAATCTTTCCCAGCATTAGGCTCTTCTCCAGGGAGTCCTTCCTTCTCATTAGGTGGCCAAAGTATTTGAATTTCCTCTTCAGCATCTGGCCTTCTAAAGAGCAATCAGGGTTGATCTCCTCTAGGACTCACCGGTTTGGTTGCCTTGCAGTCCAAGGGACTCGCAGGAGTCTTCTCCAGCACCAAAATTCAAAGGCCTCAATTCTTTGGCGCTCAGCCTTCCTTATGGTCCAACTTTCACAGCCCTATATTGCAACTGGGAAATCCATAACCTTAACTATGCACACTTTGTTGATGTCTCTGCTTTTTAGTATGCTGTCTAGATTTTCCATAGCTTTCCTTCCCAGGAGTAAGCAGCTTTTAATTTCTTAAAAGTAATTTCCCTCAAGTACTAGAAGATAGTTATCATGTCTGTGTGTGTCCCCCCCACCCTTTAATCCTTCTCTTTGATAGTCCCAAAGGTGCTTTTTTTTCAAGAGACAATTGGACTTTGGTTTTTTGAAGATGTTTTGCTTCTCCTCCAAGAAGCTTCTTCAGCTCTGACTGGATGGTGGGGAGTGGAAGGATTTATACTCCTTGCAGACAGCTGGTCATTTGCATCCTTTTAGACAATCGTTGAGGGCACTTGGAGGTTTATCTGTGTCCTCAGGGTCACCTGAGTGTGGATCCTTCTCGGAACTGCTGTGCCTTCTGGATGTTCTGCAGAAAGCACAGGATTCTGCAGGAACCCAGAGCAGAAAACTCTGAGGGACAGAGATAAGCCTCCAAGTGGCCTCAACGACTCTCTCAAAGGATGCAAAGGACCAGCTGTCTGCAAGGAGTATAAATCCGTCCGTTCCCCACCATCCAATCGGAGCTGAAGAAGCTTCTTGAATGAGAAGCGAAACGTCTTCAAAGAAAAACCCAAAAGTCCAGTTGCCTCTTGAAGGGGGGTGGGGGGAGCACCTTTGGGACAACCATGACCTGGATGCCTGAGACTCTCCATAGACTTCTCTTTGATAGGCGACACATCCCTAGCTCCGTCAGCTGTCTATCATACGATTTAGCCTCCAGACCTTTGATCATCTTTGTTGCTATTCTCTGCACACTTTTCAGGGTCTCCACATCAGTTTTCGTATCATTGATTCAATTCCACCCGAATGACGGTCCTGTTGTGACCCAGGCCGAAGTAGGTAGTATTAGACGCAAACAGTTCCAAAACAAACAGACTTTATTAGAGCAGCTGAAAATTAACTCATTCTCAGGCTAGTCCAAACTAAATCAAAACAAATTCTTCTTAACACAAATTCTTCAGTCTAATCACCAACCTTGGTGTAATTAGGCAAACTGCCAAAGGCTTCTCTTAGCAAAAGTTCAGAAGCAGATCTTCTGGTCTCAGGGGAGGGGCGGAGGGGTGGCGGTTGTTATTAACGAAGGTCTTGGACCAAGGGAGGCCACTGTTCCTCAGACGGCTGGATGTGAGTCCCTTCTTGTGAAGTGGGGTCATAGGGTGCAGTTGGGCTTGCTAGTCACGTACCTGGCTCCCTGCCATGTGGCAGCAGCCCTGCCTGAGCTGCTTGATGTTATAGCCGCGGTGGCTGTTGACACCCCCAGGCTTATGGTCATGGGGGATTTTAACCTGTCATCAGTTGGCGAGACATCTGAGGTGGCTCGGGAGTTCATGGCTTCCATGACGGCTATGGACCTGACCCAGTTAATTTATGGCTCTACTCACATGGGGGGACACACACTGGACCTTGTTTTTGTCTCTGGACAGTGGTTGAGTGATCTCGAGATAGGGGATATAGTGATTGAACCCTTGTCATGGTCAGATCACTCCCTCCTTCGCCTGGACCTTCGAACCGCCACACCCCGCCGCAGGGAGGCGGAACCGACCAGGTGGTTCCGCCCCAGGCGCCTGATGGATCCTGAGAGATTCCAGATGGAGCTTGGGCCATTTCCTGAGGTTCTAGCACACGACTCGGCTGAGGACTTAGTGGCCGCCTGGGATAGGGCGGCGGCTGATGCTTTAGACCGAGTCGTGCCTTTGCGGCCTCTGACCCGGCGCCGGTCTCACCTGGCTCCTTGGTATACTGAGGAGCTGAGGGAGATGAAGCGCCGGAAAAGACGCCTAGAGAGCAGTTGGAGGGCTAGTCGTTCTGAATCCAACTGAACACTGGTAAGATCTCATATTAAGAATTACCTAGTGGCGATAAGAGTAGAGAAGAGTAACTACTTTTCTACTCTTATTGCGTCATCAGATAATCGCCCAGCCGCCATGTTTAGGGTGACCCGCTCTCTGCTCCATCAAGAGACGCGGGAAGACCCCTTGGAGGGTAGAGCTGAGGATTTTGTACAATATCTGTATGACAAAATTGCTCAGATTCGTGAACAGCTAGACTCTGACTGGATTGATCCAGAGGAGATGACAGGGGCAGGTCCTGAGAATATTATTTGGGAAGAGTTTGATCCTGTGACTCCCAAAAGCGTGGACAGGATACTGAACAGACTAAATGCGACCACATGTTTATTGGACCCGTGTCCATCCTGGTTGGTACTGGCCTCCCGGGAGGTGACGCGAGGCTGGCTCCAGGAGATTATAAATGCTTCTTTGAGTGAGGGTGTCTTTCCCACCGTCTTGAAAGAGGCGGAGGTGAGGCCCCTCCTCAAGAAGCCCTCCCTGGACCCGGCTGTGTTAGCAAATTATCGTCCTGTCTCCAACCTTCGCTTTGTTGCAAAGGTTGTTGAGAGTGTGGTTGCACGACAACTGCCTCAGTACCTGGATGAATCGAATTATCTAGATCCGTTCCAGTCGGGATTCAGGCCCGGGTACAGCACAGAGACAGCATTGGTCGCATTGGTTGATGATCTCT